ACCCAGCGCCTCTCCTGGACGCCCCCCTCCCCTCACCCAGCATCTGTCCTGGACCCTTCTTCCCCTTACCCAGCCCCTCTCCTGGACCCCTCCTCCCCTCACCCACTCAGCAGGCAGATGCTTCTCCAAAACCGGAGCTAAGTGCCAAGTCCCTGCTGCCTAAGTCCTGCTGTGCATTTTTAGTGGGTCCATCAAATACTTTATAATACTGGAAATTTCTGTCTCCCTCTCCTTTTACAAACAGTAGCAAGTGGATATGTTATACTACTTTTTTAAAAAGTTCTCTTCCATGAAGGATTACTTTAGACTAAAAGCAGTTTATGGTCATAGATTCCAAAGTAAAACAATGTTTTTTTCCTATTCATTTGGGGTGATTTGGGTCAACTAAAATTTAAAAATTAACTTTAGGATTTTAAAAACAGCTACAGCCTTTTAAGCATCAATTTTCAATGCTAACGGTAACTTATTACTTAAAATGAAAGTGCTGAATAAATGCCTCTTAATCACAGTGCTGAGAGAAGTGGTAAGTAGAAAATAATACACGTTAAGTGTGGGGCTAGAGGAACTTTCTGGAAAGCCACCTTCCCCGCCCCACCTACTCCAGAGCCGTGTCTTCTGGGAACCGAAAATCCCAGGACAGAGCTTCCTGTTCTCAGCTGCCTCCAGAGGTTTCTACAATAATGTCTTAAAAAATCAGTGGTAGTGTTTTGAGATTTCTGTAAGTGGGAGTGAAAAGTAAAATTAAATTCCTTTGCTATTACGGAAACAAGAGGTGGATACATATATGTGTCTGTATGCACACATGTATATACATGCGTATGAAGTGCCTGCTGCTATAAAAGGCCTTTGATAATTTCTCATATAGAATTGTGCAAGTGAAGGTGACCTTGGAGTGTTTCCTTGCATGGGTGGGAGAGGCCCGAGGTGGTAGGTCAGGTCATATTGGGACTGGACCCTGGGCCGCCTCTGTGCCTGTTCACCGTTGACCAGCTGATTCCACTACTCAAACTGTCTTGATGCCAGTTTACATTTACGTAAAGTTCAACATGCAATTTCCTATAACACCCTGCAGGTAAACATGTATGTATCCATCTATATAAACGTGTTTTTTTTAAATTAATAGATCGAGTGAAAATGGACCTCAGCACACTTTGACAGGTTATTAGAAAACATGCCCCTTGCCCCAAGCACAGGCATACATGTTAAATGTATGCAGGAAGGGAAGCCGATTCCGTGCATGGTATCCTGCAGTAAGGAATCCTACTTCCTGGGCTCTGCTCCTGCGCTGGGCTGGGTGGCGCCACTCGCGATGCCTCTAATAGGCTGTGCTGTGTATTGTGCCTCCATTCCAGGTGCTACCAAGATTGTGCCAGTGGAGGCTGGCCCCCCTGAAACAGGAGCCACAAACCCCGAGGCCACCTCAGCTGACCTGGCACCTCGGAGAGGCTACCAGGAGTATGCCATTCAGCAGACACCATATGAGCAGCCCATGAAGTCAAGCAGGTAAAGTGTCTGTCTGTGTGACTTAGCCAGAGGCTGGGCGCTGGTTCCCGTCACAGAGGGCGAGAGCACAACATGTTAGATTAGCAGGACCTGTTTTGTAAAGGACATTGGTTTCTTGATTTAACCAAAGAATCAAGCCCTCTTTATGGCCCATCTGCAGCCCACAGTGAAGGAGTGTGTGGTCTCCACATGCTCCCAGGGTCCCTGTCTCAGCTGTGTGTGGACTTGCTGAGGTAGAACAGCAGACGGATCACCTGAACTTTGCAAATGTGTTTCTGGAAGAGTGGGGAGGAGGTGTTCTTGAAGAGAGAATAAGCTTTAGTGCCAAATCGACCTGGGTGGGCTCTAGACTCTTCTACTAGAATTCGGCTCAGCAGATTAAACACCTATCATTTGTCAGGTTCTGGGGGTGTGAGGGGAACAGACACGGTGGCTGTTGGATGCAGCTTTTGCTCGCCTGTGACCTGACACAGGTGATTGTGCCTCCGAGTCCCTGTGACACCAGCCATAAGCTTGTCCAGTGGAGTCTGACTCAGTTTAGTGGTGGGAGTAAATGATAGTGTGTGGCAGTGTGTGGCATGTGCGTTGCTCTAACTGCACTGGGGCGTGATATCACACTGGTGCTGCATTAATTTGTAGCCTCAGTCCACTTTTCTTGCAAATGTGAGCAACTGAATTTATCGATGAAGTGGTAAAAATACTAATTCCTTTGGCAAAACTGTAATGTAATTAAATTTGAAGATCATTCTGGTCTCAATTCAGGTTGATTTGTAGATGTTAGCTAATTATCTTCATTGTATTTCTAGGTCTGTTGGGAGGGGTTCAACTAAATGCTAATTCAGTTACAGGTGGATGTACGCAATATTTAATGAATATTTATATTTATATTGTCACACGTTTTATTAATATTTTATAGTATCGATTTTGAAATAATTATGAAGGAGACTTTTTTGTATGATAATTTGGCTTTGCAAAATATAGATACAAACTTTTAGATTATAGCAACATGTCCATTAGGTTATGTCAGTTAGGTATCATAGAAATATGGTACAGATTATATAGAAAATTATGAAAGTCCAGAAAAGTATGTAAAAATCATTTGTAATCTCACCACTCTAAGTTAGACACTGCTAATACTTTTAATTATTCCCTTCTAGCTCCTATATTTTATAAAATTGAGTTTATATTTTATGAGCAATTTTGTATCTTTTAATAGTAGCCACATTGTACTTCTTTCCTTTTTTGCTCAACTTATACACAAACTGCTTTGTGGCAACATGCTGTAATATCCTGAGGATATGCTATATAGCCTGCTCAGCTCTGGAAATTGCAGCCAGTGAGATCTTTGGGAAGTGCCCATTTGATTGTACCCTCTAAGGCCCCCATCGCCATTAGGAGAACTTGGCTTAGGGCCTCCCAGGACAGCCACCTCTCCAGCTCGGCCCGTCCTGTGCTCCCTCCGGTTCTCTGGGCTTCAGCTTCTGCTCCAGCCATCTGGGCCCTTTTTACTTCCCTGATCTCTCCTTGCAGGTGCCTCTTCCTCTTCCTGGATGTCTCCCCTCCCCCTGGTCATCCTTCAGCTCTCTGCTCAGCTGGCCAGTCCTCAGGGTGGCCTGTCCTGCCCCTCAGGGAGATCAGCCTGCTCTGACCTGGGCTCTTCCTGGCCTTGCCTTTTCCTGTCATAGTAGGGAGCCTGATGGTCTTTATCTGCTCATTTTTATGGCTGTTCTGCTGGCCCATGGCTCCTCTAGAAGGTTAGCTCCAGGAGAGCATGGGTTGTATTTGTTTTCATCCCTATTGTATCCCCAGTGCCTTGAATACTTTTTTAATGAGTGAATAAATGAAAAAAAATATGCAAAGTAGTTTCCTATGTTGGTCCCTCAAACAGCTCCCTGCTATTAACTTTTGTGAGAACAGCTTAGTGAGCGGTTTTGTAGTCTTTCATTTGGATCAAGGATTCTGGCCTTTCAAACTGATCACCTGATCGCTTTCTCTTGTCTGGGCGAGAGTGTCTGTCACTGAGCGGGGAACCGAGGAGAATAATCTGGTAGGAGTCCTATGGAGGTGGCCCCTGTGTTATTCACAGGGTCGGGGGCGACGCTTGAGAGTCAGATGCAGACTGCTTAGCATCTTCATCAGATTCATTCTCCTTCCCAGGACACAGGGTGCCAGGACTCTGTCAGGTATTTGTCTAATAACACAAAAAAAGTTGCAGCAAAAGATTCTCCTGAGACCATTCAGACCTTGCAGTAGAGGAGGAGACACCGAGATGTGTTTACTTAGTTAATGTTGTGAATCCAGGGTTTCTGCCTTTGGTGCTCTTTGCACCAATAAAATGTGTCGCCTCCTGGATATCTTTATCATTTGAGAAGATCCAAATGAGTTTCCTTAAATTAACCTCAGGTTTAGCGTGCAGCAGACCAGTAGCTTTCACATTTGAATATTTTAATTACACTCTGTGAGTTGTACCCTCTGGTGTCTATGGACTGCAGCCCATTTATATGTTTTTAATTTAAGGACAAGACAGCCTGTGTTGATCAAACATGGTTGTGTGGATAGTTCCACACGGCTGGTCGTATGAATGGCACACGCCTGTTCCTCCTCCTGCCCCCCTCTTCCTGTTCTGTACTCAGCTCACACCTCTCTGCTTCAGCAAGTTTCCCACCCACCTCCATCCAGGTTTGCTGTGTCTTTCTCCATTCACCCTGCTCACATCGCTATCAACTCTTACACACTGTGGTGCAACCACATGCTGACCTGTCCTCTCTCCTCCTGACTGTGAGCTCCCGAGGAACATGCACCTGCTCTTCCATCCTCGGATGTGCCTGGTCCATGGCTCCCCGTTCCTGTTGGCTGGTGAATGACTGCATCCGTCCATCCATGCTCAGTCCCACTTAGTCACTTGTGAGCCCTTGGTGTTTGGTTCATAAGGAGGAGCTAGAGGTCTCTGGGAATGTGCAGAGTCTCTAGCGGTAATGGTGCTGTCATCTGTTTCTAGGCTAGGGCCCACCCAGCTCAAGATCTTCACCTGTGAGTACTGCAACAAAGTCTTCAAGTTCAAGCACTCCCTGCAGGCCCACCTTCGGATCCACACCAACGAGAAGCCCTATAAGTGCTCCCACTGCAGCTACGCCAGCGCCATCAAGGCCAACCTCAATGTGCATCTGCGCAAGCACACGGGCGAGAAGTTCTCCTGCGACTACTGCTCTTTCACTTGCCTGAGCAAGGGCCACCTCAAGGTGCACATCGAGCGGGTGCACAAGAAGATCAAGCAGCACTGCCGATTCTGCAAGAAGAAGTACTCTGACGTCAAGAACCTCATCAAGCACGTCCGTGAGGTGCACGACCCGCAGGACCAGCAGGTCAGGGAGGCCCTGGACGGGCTCTGCCTCCTGACCAGGGAAGGCAAGCGGCAGCTGCTCTACGACTGCCACATCTGTGAGCGCAAATTTAAGAACGAGTTGGACCGCGACCGCCACATGCTGGTCCATGGGGACCAGTGGCCCTTTGCCTGCGAGCTCTGCGGCCACGGGGCCACCAAGTACCAGGCACTGGAGCTGCATGTACGGAAGCACCCCTTCGTGTATGTCTGTGCCATGTGCCTCAAGAAGTTCGTCAGCTCCATCCGGCTGCGCTCCCACATCCGGGAGGCGCACGGGGCTGCCCAGGAGACCTCGGTCTTCACCAACTCCATCAACCAGAGTTTCTGCCTCCTGGAGCCCGGGGGGGACATCCAGCAGGAAGCCTTGGGTGGCCAGCTGCAGCTGGCAGAAGAAGACTTTGTGTTCCAGGGGGTCAGTGCACCCAAGGAGGCGGCTTGCCCTGGGGATGGGGAGTCTGAGAGGGGACGGAAGGAGCCGGAGGCCCCACTGGAGGTGCCTGCCCCGGCCGCACACTTAGCCGTCACCTCCCAGGCCGGAAGCACTGCCATGCCCCCCTGTGAGCTGGATGTCTCAGAGGTCTCCTCGGGCCTTCACTCGCCTGTGGTAGTTTCAGATGAGTTGTTGAAAAATGGTACCTGCTCTGCTGAGGCTTACGCTGCTCCTGAGAAGACCCTGAACACTGAGCCCAGAAACTCCACCCAGACTCAGGACAAAGAAGTCACCCTCCTGCTACCCAAGGCCAGAAGCCCTGCCACCAACCAGGAGGCTCAGGGTGCGGAGAGTCCCCCTGGGGAAGGGCGGAAGGCCCCTGCCCTCCCATCTGATGGGCTAGACCCCGGTAGGTGTCTCAGGTCAAACCCAGCTGAGGCCTCGAACCTTCCTCTGGAAGCTGGTGGAGAGGACACGGTCCTGCGCCCGCCTGACTTTTGCACACCTGTCCCCGAGCACCGGGCTAACATGAATGCGTTCATGAGGATCCTGGACAGTTTGCACAAGAGGCGGATGGACACTGGCCTGTGTGAGAGGATCCGGAAGGTGTACGGAGACCTGGAGTGTGAATACTGTGGTAAGAGAGGCAGCAGGGCGGCTGGTAGGCCTCTCACTCCATCCACCCCACCTTGCTTCGGATCACCTCGTGTGATTTGAGCTCACGTGTCTGCAGAGAGCGGCTTCTACACGAGCTGTCCTTCATGTGCAGAGAGCAGGGGTGGCTGCCCGTGTTGAGTCTTTGCGAAGGTGGCCAGGGTGACGGGACAGCGGAGTGTGCGGGCTCAGCCAGGCATGCATGGAGAGGCTCAGGCCCCCTCCGCCAGAACTTAACCAAGAAGAGGCATTCCTCTGGCACGTGGCACATTTAACGTAGAGCTTTGAGTTGTGGCTGAGTTCTAGCTGAGCAGAGAGGTTACGGAAGTGGCTGCAGCTCTTTGTAGGGAGGCCCTGAATAGAACCTTCCAGTCACAGAGCAGGCATGGCTCAGTCCCTGGAGAGCTGGCAGCCCAGGGAGCAGGAGGCCCAGCTCTGGACCGGAGACCCAGGTGTCACTAGAGGTCAGAGTCTTCGGTGTATACATGTTCATAATAGTATCTGGCACCTAATTGGTCCTCAGTAAACATTCGTGTTCTCCCCCAGCTCTGACATCTGGCAAAAAAGGTAGCACCCTTAATGTTTGCAACCACCCACCTTTGAAAAGTAATTTCCAGACAGAAATGTGGTGGACAGTGTGAAGGGTGACCCGGACAAGCAGGAGGCGTAGACAAGTAGAGTAGTTACAGAGTCGTAATAATAAAAAAAAAAAAAAATCAAACTCAGTATAAAAGAAACTTCCTTGTTCTCACGTGAAAATATTTTTTTAGGCAAACTTTTTTGGTACCAAGTGCATTTTGACATGCATGTCCGCACCCACACCCGGGAACATCTGTATTATTGCTCCCAGTGTCACTATTCTTCCATCACCAAAAACTGCCTTAAACGCCATGTAATTCAGAAACACAGCAACATCTTGCTGAAGTGTCCCACTGAAGGCTGTGACTACTCGACTCCAGATAAATATAAGCTGCAGGCCCACCTTAAAGTGCACACAGAGCTGGTAAGTAGAAGCCCGAGTGGCAGCCCCGTCTCCCCTGGGTGCTCATGGCTTGCTCACTTTTATGCATATGGAGGTGCCCCCGCTTCGTGTCCATCCAGTGTGTCAGCGTCCACCCTGAAACCGCAGAGCCCTTCTCACGAAACAGGTTCTCCTCCTTGCGGGAGCCTTCACCCCAGGGTTCCTTTCCCAGGGAGAGTCTTCAGTATGATGAGAAAAAGACTCGATGGGAAACATTCACTTTCTGTACAGAATTCTCAGCATTGGAGACCGTCTGCAGAATAGAAGTAAAGCCAGGTCTCTCCAGTGACATGTTAATTACCAATAACAGGGACAATACTACTAATAATAGCTGCCACTAACAGTTGCTGAGAGATCAAATTAGAAAATGCCTGCCGAGTGCTAAGCGTGGTGTTTGGTTCCTAGTACGAGCACAGGAAAGGTCGACAACCTCTTATTGTCTGATGGTCGTGCTATTTGTAGGAAATCAAAAGAATATCTGTGAAGCAATTTTATTTCAAAAAAGTGGTGTATTTATCCAAAGTGCTGTTCATATCCACAGTGGTAACTCAGTTTAATGCTTTGGTGGGAGAACATGTAACACAGGGAATGAAGGCGTGCTTATTTTTGTGACTCCTAATCTGACTGAAGAGGCTGACCCCTGAGAGTGATTGGAGACAGGTATCAGGGGGGCACAGCTGGCCCCAGGCTGGCTCTGTTTCCATTGCATTGCTTTTTGTGCCACATGAGGCACAAAATGAGGCTTCAGAAACTGGATGTTCATGTCACCGTCTTCTGGCACCAAAATCACTAACACTGGCATTTTGTCACTATGGTGAAGTCAGGGTTTCTCAGGTTTTGTGGGTAGGTAAGAACATGCCCTTTGAGGTTAGAAACTTGGATTCAAATCCTGTCTGCAGCACTTGCACAGGCTGTGTGACACTGGACAGTTCACTTGTCCTTCCTGAGTAGCCTTCTGTATGAAATATATATTAAAAAGTACATATCTGTTTTATGCACACACATACACACATATGCACAGACATATACACACATGTATACACGTGTAGTATTTTTAAGTGACTTTTTCAGTTACAGTTGACATTCAGTATTATATTAGTTTCAGATATACAGCATAGTGGAAAGACATTCATGTAATTTATGAAGTGATCCCCCCCAATAAGTCTTATACACACATGTGCACACATACATATAATACATATACATTAAACACAACTATAAACACAGTACACACATATACACCCGTGCACATGTCTGTATTTGTCTCTGTAGAGATCTGCTAGAGTTACTGAGAGGTTAAAGTGGATGCTCTAGGTAAAGAGCTTGGCTCAGTGCTGGTGTGGCTGACGGAACCAGCTAGTGTCTGTCACCTGGTTCTGCTTAGTACATGTTCCTATTTCCTTATAGAGTTGCTGTCAGGTTGGTATTGCTTCTAGTATTCTCTTAGCGCAAGGAAAACTGAGGTGTCAGAAATGATCATTGTGACTTCACCAGAAACTCCTATGAGTCAAGAGGGGTGAGGCCAGCATGAGGGCAGCCTTGGGTGTAGCCGTGAATGCCAGGGACCAGGCTGTGCCCCCATCCAGCCTCAAGGTGAGTTATGGAACCGTGCCTCAGTTTACCCGCCCTCAGGTGGGGGTGAAGTGAGGAGATATGTGCAAATGTCAGGATGTGCCTGGCATGGGAGAAGCACTGGACCAGCGGCTGTCGTTACTGTTACATTTATTCCACTCACCGGTTTGGAACTCGTTGCTCTGGATTCAGCGATTTTGAGACACGGACCGTGGACTGCTGAGAGCAAGGGTGCCGGAGAGCAGTTTTAGAGCCTGGGATGCCTGTTTTTCCATCCCCTTAGCCTGTGTCAGAGGGACTCATAGCCCATCCCCCTGTGTTCTGGCCCCGGGATGTGGTGCTCAGCCCCCTGGCCACATCCTGGGGCTCCTGGTCAGTAGGAGAGCGTCGACATGCTCTCAGATCTTCAGCCCCAATTCATGTGCTTTCATTTTCTTATAAACTGGCATCTAAAGAAGCTTCTCTTTTCAACTTTCTGTGGTTATGAATCTCCTCCAAAGGGGCTCCCTCTCCAGTACCAACACTCGAGAAGGTGTTGGTGAGTGTGTGTTGGGGGAAGGGGAAGTCGCAGTTGCTGTTTCATCCTGTGGTCCAGGCTCTCGTGTGACCTTAATTTTCATGCCACTTCCAGGAGGTGGGGATTACTTCTGCCACTGGGCAGGTTAGGAGCCTTCTGTTGCAGAGCCATGTTGTAAGTTGCCACTGTCACCCTGTTGGTTGGGGATGGTGGTGGAGCTCAAGCCACGTGCTTCTCCATGACCCACGCTCTCGTGACTGCCCCGTGCTGCGTGGCGGTCAGTCATGAATTTCAGCCACGCCATTCCGGGCAGGTCTCTTGGTCACTTGCACAGTATTTGAAGGAAGGTGGTGGCCGTAGATGTCCCATGAGAGTGGGGCCTGTGTTGATACTTCTGAGCTGTGCATTGTGCCCCAATAATTAAATGTCTGGAAGTTCCCACAAGAGAAGAGCAGGGAGGCGACGCCTCCACCTCGCTGAACAGGAAGCTATCCTGATTCTCGCGAACACTCGCCCTCTTGAGGTGGTTAAAGTGTCATTTCAGCCTCCCCTCGCCGACACATGCAGTTCTGCCGTCTGAGGCTGCTGCTCCTGCCGCTCGCTGACCCAGGCTAGAGGTGTTCTCGGCCTGCCCGGCACGGGGATGTCAGATACGAAGACGGGCCGGGCCTGCCTCCGAGGCGCTCTTTGTTTTGTGGGGGAGAAACTGGTGGACAGTGATGGCAGTGTGGCCATGAGGGAGGGTAAGCGAGGCCAACACAAACTACCCCGGAGAGGGCCAGGTCGAGGTAAAGGAGGGCTCCCTGGAGGCGGTGCTCTAAGCTTGATGAGCAGGATTTGGCCGTGGGAAGAGGCAGGGAGGAAATTCCCGACAGAGTAGGCAGCACAAACCAAGGAGAAGCCTTCCATATTTACATCAGAATATTGAATGAAGAGGCATTTTCCCTGAAGCAGGTGGCCTGTATTGCCAAGGTAATAAGACTGCATCATTTATGAAAGCAGGTTCCAGTATTTTGAACCTGTATTTTGAAGCAACATTTGTTTTTCGAGCCTGTAAATTATTTTTGTGAGGAAGCCAGAGGTAATAAGTCACTGACATAGTCGGAAGATCTCGTTATCATCGCTTCCTTTCCCCTTCCTGAGCCCGAGGCAACCACTAATCTGCTTTCTAGCTCTATGGGTTTGCCTATTCTGGACACTACCTGGAGTAGTGGAGGGAATACTATGCCCTCCTTTCTCAGGGTGGTGGTGAGACTCCACCGAGGTGGCAGGAATGAGCTTCAGGATGTAAAGTGAAGATGCCGTACAGATGCCAGGGCAGGGCCTGGCTGGGACTGGAGAGGGTGCTGTCCTGACTGGGGGTGAGCCCTTGCGTCAGCGTGGGGCTTGGATTCCTCACTTGTGATCCAGGAAGTCGAGGCCAGGTGTGTTGAAAGTCTGGTCGGGCCCTCCCATTTGATGCAGGACTTACCTATTCTCAGGGCTGTGAGGGTTAAATTAGGAAATGTGTCGCTTACCCAGGTCAGTGTGCGTTCCATCCCCGGGTCACGATCCATTACGGGATTGTTCACTCAGTTCTGTGGACCACAGCTACTGTATCTTACAAAGGAAATGGAGTAGAACAAAATAGAAATTATCAGCATTGCTCCCCCACACCAAAGGTAAGTATTTTTTGAGACCTTTGTTTCTGTGTTTCGGTATGTTTACATGTCAGTATGTGTACATGTATGTGCAGGGTGGCGAAGTGAGATGGGCGGCCTCATTTGAGTCCCATTAAATATGTTCGTAAGTCACTCACCCAAATGATGTAACTCATGACATCACGAATCAGAATCCCATGGGGGTAACTGTTACAAGTGACATTCCTGGGCTCACACCTCTGTCATCGTGTGAGAAGGACCTGGGGATTGGCTAACTAAGTAAGTTTCTCCTGACACAGACTTTTGAAATATCCGGAGGTGGAGCATATGGTGGCTGTCCACAGTATGTCAGTGTGTTGCCCTTACCTCCGGCTTGTGTTCCTGCCCCGCAGACCGCGCAGGTAACAACCCCGAGGGCGGTGCAGCAGTCACAGCCCAGCTGGGCATGGGCACATTTTTGGTGTTGCAGTCTCACTCCACCACTTGTCTGCAGTGTGGCTTCACTATCTAACCTCTCTGGGCCCTCTCTGTAAATTGTGGATAGCACTCCCGCCCCCAGGGGCGCTGTGCAAGTTTAGTGAGATGACCTTTGTAAGAGACACAGCACAGGTCCTTCTTAGCAGCAGGAATAGCGGAGACAGAGGGGTACAGTGGTGCTGGTGCTGGTGGTGGTGGTGGTGGGCGTCCATCCAGCGGGTGATGGTCTCTCAAGAAATAGTTAAAATTGATGCTGGTCCATGTCTTTGAGAAGTGCATAGTCTGTTTTTGGCTATAAAGGTATACATTCTTTAAAAACCCTTACCAATCATATGTTGCCAACAAAGCACAGAGAAAGCAGAGGGAGCTACCTCCAGGATCGTTCTGGAAATAAGTGGGTCAGTCTGTAGTTTTTTTCTTAACTGGAGGAAAATGCTGTTGAACTTAAATGACTGGACATGGGCTTTTCCTTACCTGGAGCCACAGGAGCATGGACTTTTCTTACTTGATCACAGGCCTATTTGTTTTTGTGTCGCCCTGCTGGGTGTTTACCCACAGAGCCAAGACCGCGGGCCGCCAGAGTATCCCCTGCACAAAACAGCTTCCTGTTAGCGGCCCGAGGTCCAGACCAACCAAGGGGGCTCAGCATGGCAAAGCAGACGGCTTTCAGTGAACGGAAAGTCCTTGAGCTGAAATCCCAAGTGGAGCATGTTTCTAACTGTTCAAATTAGTCACAATCTGAGCATCACCTGTCCTGTCTTCTCCATGCTTTTGCATGTCCCATGATGACGATTGTGGCTCTGTGTGTGGGCCCTTCTCTCTCTATCCTAGATCCTGAGCCCCTTGAGGGCAGGGTCAGTGTCTCACACCTTTGCTCTCAGGGCAAAGCCCGGCACATAGCGGGGGCGCTGGAAAGTCTGAGGAATGATGGGGTGAGTCCACAGAGGACAGCAGGTACCATAACCATGATCTTTTATTCTTGAGAAACTGTTCAGAGTGGAATCTCCCATCTTATATTTTTAAGCTGATATCAGATATTTTATAGGTGTACTTATTTAGGTAACAGCTAATACACCTGGTGGCACAGAGGTGTAGACCAAGGCGAGGTTTGCCCAGAGTGGAGAGTGGGGCTCTGTGCATCAGCCCTGGGCTGCACCTGCACTGCATGCCGTGGCCGTGGCCGTGGCTGTGGCCTCAGCCGTGGTCTCCGGCTGCTGCCTCCCTTCTTTCAGTCCTGTGTTGCTTTGAAGGTCATTTCCCTCGGAACAAACAAACTACCAGGGCTGGGCTCTTTTACTGTCATTACAGGATGGATCTCTCATTCTTTCGCCTCTGCCAGGAACGCTTTTAACCAGCTCTCTTTTTAAGTTTCAGTTTTCATCTCCGGTATGGAACTGAGGTTTTGAAAAAGAAAGAAATGAGTCCTAAGAGTGCACCCTTCTCCCAGCACCCTTCCCCACTGCCTGTGTCCTTCTGACAGTCTTCAAAGGCATCAAGAAATGAGGGGCCCTGATAAGCTCTAAGATAAATTGCTTTCAGACTATCAGAGATTAAATGAAAAAAATCAAATAGCAAGGACTCAGGGGAGATCACTGTAAACTCCTTCAAAGCCCTTTGAAAGCCTTCGTCAACTCTGATGACTAGGGCGCTGGGGACAGCGGGGTGGTGACAGGCCTCCTCCAGGGTGGGTGTCTGGCCGACGGCATCCTTTAGAATGTCACTATGAATGTGAGTTCCTGTGTGCGGATGCTGGGAGTGCCAAGGAGACCTGGAAGGGTCAAGGGCAGAAGAGGACAGTGACGGGTATGCTGAGAAGCCTGGAGCCCATGATGTAGTCTGGGCAGAAAGCTCAGGACAGCCTCACGAGAGCTGCCTGGACCCCTGGACATCTGAGCCTGGCAGGCATGGCTCGTGCCTCAGATGTTTGGTGGGAAACGCATCCATACCATTTGGTTTTTCACAGGGACTTTTGTTTTTAGGTATAAAGTACCCTTTTCTTAAGTGTACTCTGGGGAGCACCAGCCTCAGGAGACATTCTGCAGCTAATCCAAAAGCCCTCTGGGAGTACGCTCTTTCAGATCCCCCTTCGGGAGGAGCCCAGGGTGCGTCAGCCCAGGAGAGGTCTGTCGTCCGAGGCTGAGTTGCATAATAACAGTGCTAAAACCACAGCAGCCAAGTCTCAGATTTATTGAGTACTCACTCTGTTCTGAGCACTTTATGTGCTTTGGATAAACGTTATTTTTAGAGCAGTTTTAGATTCACTGCAAAGCTGAGCAGACTGTACAGAGATTTCCCATGTGCCCCCTCCCCACATGTGCCTTGCATAGCTGGAATGAGTCCCAGTTGGTCGTGGTGTATAGTTCCTTCTATACCCTTGGGTTAGGTGTGCTAATGTTTTGTTTTGTTGAGGATTTTTGCATCTATGTTCATGAGAGATATTGGCTTGTCATTTTCTTGTGATGTCTGTTTTTGGTTTCAGGGTCATGCTGGCCTTCTAGAATAAGTTAGGAAATGTTCCTTCTGCTTCTGTCTTCTACAAAAGATTGTAGAGAACTGGTATATGCCTTCCTTAACCATTTGGTAGAATTCACAGGTGAACCTATCTGGGCTGGCACTTTTTGTTTTGGAAGATTATTAATTTTGATTCAATTTCTTTAATAGATATAAGCCTATTCACATTGTCTACTTTTTGTGTGAGTTGTGGCAGGTTGTGTCTTTTAAGGACTTGGTCTGTTTCAGGTAGGTTGTCACATTTGTGCTCATAGTGTTCCTTTAACCTTCCAGGTCCCTGCAGTCTCTAGTACACCCCTTTTGTTTTTTATATTACTAATTTGCTCTTTTTTTCTTAGTTGACCTGGCTAAAGGATAAATGATTTTATTGATCTTTGCAAAGAACCAGCCTTTGGTTCCATTGATTTTTTATTATTAATTTTTAGTTTTCAACTTCACTGATTTCTGCTCTAATTTCTTCTGCTTCGTTTGGATTTCATTTCCTCTTTCCCCCCCACTTTTTTAAGGTGGAAGCTTTGGTGATTGAATTTAGATTTTCCCTCCTTCCTGATCTATACATCAGTGCTATAAATTTCCCATAAGCACAGCTTTCACTGCTTTCTACAGATTTGATAAGGTGTTTTTATTTAGTTCAAAGTATTAAAATTTTTTTCTTCAAATTTTTTCTTCGACGCATGTTATTTAAGTGTGTTTTTATCTGTGTGTATTTGGGGATATTCTGCCGTCTCTCTGTTACTGATTTCTAGTCCAGCCCACTGTGGCCTGCCCCCTTCTACCCCGGCTTCCTGAGGCAGGCCTGCTAAGGACAGGAAGCTGGTGTCTTTCATAGTGGTTCCCTTTCCCCTCTCCTTGCCAGCGCGATAGTCACTGTGAGAACAGGCTGAGCTCCTATAGGTAAAACAACAGTTTAGGGGCCCTTATGCGACTGGGTCCCTGGATTTCTAGCTCTGACAGTGGTGCTGGTTCTCAGGGAGCTTTCTGCTCATGAATTTTTGCGCCAGTAAGCTGTGGTTCCTGTTTCTCCCTGTCTGTCCAGTTTGGGCGCAGTGATTTGCCCTAGGAACTCATGTCTCTTTGGATCTAAGAAGATTGCTGTTCTTTCAGCTTGTTCAGAGTTTCATTTGCTGTTAGGATGGAATGGAGACGTCCAAGTTTTTCACATGTGGGACCAGGAACTAGAAGTCCGCTTATGTGTTCTAGTCTCCTTTATCCTAGCAGCACTATGAAGGAGGCGGTTTTTATTGACATTTTGAGGAAGCTAAGATATTGACATGTTAAGTAACTTGCCTAACGTTGCCCTAGCTAATAAGTGGTGAAAATGGGATTTGAACTCGGGGACTGTGAGCCCTGAGCCTCTACCACTAGTTACTGTCTCACAGGGCAGGAGCTCTGGGATCCAGAGGTCTGGCTTGGATGTCCAGCTGTGCTCTCTGGGTGGTGTGACCTGGGGCAGGTTCCTAAACGCCTCCTTGGTCAGGGTGTGTGAAGCACTTTGCCCAGAGCTGTGCTTATAGTACGTTCTTAAGACATGGCTGCTGTTGTCTTTATCATCACTTAGCGGAGTGAGTAGAGTGCATTTGGGGTGGCTGTGAGGATGCTATTCACTTACTAACCTGGGAAGCACATGCTGAGCTCACGGTAGGTGCTCAGTAAGTGGCGGGACATAGTCATCCTGTGTCCCCGAGCGAGTAAGGGCTGTGACATCCCCTGTATGCACAAGCCCAACACTTTACTGCAGGCAAAGCTCCTGCACATCTTGCTTTTGTTTTTTGTTCACCTGGACACGCAGAGTCCTCCTCGCCAGGTCTTGGTGCCCGGTAGTCTGGGCCTGCGAAGTTTGTTCCTGCTGGGCACGCTTGCGAGGCCTGTTGGGGGTCTGCCCGTGTGTCTTGGCTTGGCCAGCATGCACTGGGGCTGCCTAACCTGGCTGTCTTCCCTGTTGGGGATGCTGAGGGTGAGAGCAAGGAGGGAACCGGATGCCGATGACTAATGCCTCTCTCTCCACCTTCTGACACACCTGACCCTGCGGCACAGGGTGGCATCTGCCGGTCTGTGCCCTTGCTCAGCTCAACCACTGTCCTAGCTTCTGCGGCTGCTATAATCAGCTGCACACCCACCCTAGAGGCTGAAACAATAGCTCTCTGTGGGCCCATGGGTGGTTCTGGAGGCGGGGAGTCCGCTATCAAGGTGCCGAGTGACGCTCTTCCTGAGGCTGTGGGCAGGTGTGCACTGGGACTCTCCTTGTTGGAGCCATTGGCTTGTAGACCTGCCACCTGTTCCTCTGCCTTCATCTTCACACGGCATCCTCCCTGGGTACACGTTTGTGTCCAGATTTCCCTTTTTAAGGACACTAGTCATGGTGGATTAGGGCCTGCCCTGGTGACCTCATCTTATGTAATTACAGCAATTACACCTACAACTACCCTATTTCCAAATGAGGCCCGAGGCATTAGGGGTTAGGACTTCACACGTGAATTTTGGGGGACACAGTTTAACCGATAGCACCCACCCTCTGGGAAAGTTGTCCTGCGAAATAGCCCCTGATGAGTTCTGACAGAAATGGCAGCTGAGCAAGGCCATGGCTTGGTCACTCACAGACCTGTGTCCCTAACTGGGAACGTGGCACCTCAGTTAGCCTGTGAGGCTGCGGCTGTGCCGGATGAGCTCCTTACCTGCAGCCTCAGTGGGACCTGGCCCTGGGTGGGAGGAGGAGCCCAGGTGGGCACCGGTATACTTGGGCTCTGACACTGGTTCTTCCTCATAGCCCTTGGCCTCAGTTTCTTAATCTGTAACATGAGCACAGTAATGCCTGTTCATGGAGAATCTCAATAGACTATCTTCTGTGATCCCTATGCATGCCATGCATATTGGGCACTAGAGGATGTGGTACACGCTGGGTCGCAGAGCAGCGCTGGTCTGTGTACAGACTCGAGGCCAGGCCTGCCCTCCACTGGCCTGGGCACCTCTGCGGGACTGCCATCGCTCACTCAGCCCGTCCCTCCCTCTAACACAGGCGACCTTGTTCCCCTGCCACTGTCCAGCTCGCTAGGCTGTGCGGGGCAGGTGCAGGCAGCTGGGGGCAGGTGCAGGCTGTGCGGGGCAGGTGCAGGCTGCATGTCATGTTCTTGGAAAGGTGCACTGTGCGTCGAGCTTTGATGGTGGCGGTGGCGGTGGTGGTGGCGATCTTTCCACAGCCCATTTGGGACAAGACAGTCAATTGATTTCATTCTCTTTCTGTTAAGGACAAAAGGAGTTACTCTTGTCCTGTGTGCGAAAAGTCTTTTTCAGAAGATCGGTTGATAAAGTCGCACATCAAGACCAACCACCCCGGTAAGGCTGTGCAGCTTGGAGCGGGAGGTCCATTGTAAATGCTCACACTTACCTTAAACAGCATCGCACATCAGCGGCACTAAATGAAAGCAGAGAGGGAGGAAGATGGGAGTAAGCCTAAGGGGCACAATCATCTTTATTTAGAGCTGGGAGTTTATATATTATTTACCTCATTTATCCTTTTATCTCCCCAAAGTCGAATGAGCCCCCTCGCCCCCTTTAACATGAACTTTGAATGCCTTTACGTGGGTCACTGCCAGTGCAGGTCTGACTAGATTCCACCCTCAGGAGCCTATGCCTGGTCCTTCCATAGGTTTGTGTTGCCCAACGTGGTGGTTATGAGGGTGTGGGCTTCCTCCCAGGCCCAGGAACCTCCGTGAGTTGGAGTGACCATCACCTTTGGTCAGTTTCATGCCACTGAGATGTGTGAAGGTGAGCCTCGAGCTGCCTGGGCATTTGTATCTTGTCACTTCCATGCTCACTGCCTGGGATACATCTCCTCTACTCTGCCTGGTTAATTCCTGTTTATTTTTTATGTTCTCTCTCAGAGCCCCACCCTTGGGGAGGCTTTGGTGGCCCCAGTCTGGGAGAGAGCTCCTCCTACACCCCCATCACAGTGCAGATACCACTTGCACTCTAGTCATCGGTACTGTCCCGCAGCCCCTGGGACATCCTTGGACAGGGCTGAGCTACAGCTGAGCTTCCTCAGTTATCTACATTTTGTCAAACTTGTTTCCTGTATCAACCCCCATATATATATTTTTTTCTGGAATAGTATTTTAAAGTATATCCCAGGAATCATATAATTTCCCCATAAACACAACTTTAGAATGCACCTCTACTAAGAATTTTGTCACCAACCCCTGTGTTACCTTTAAAACAAACAGAAGTCACAGTAGTCCCTTCTCACCACCTCGTATCAGTCCATTTAAAATTCCCCCAGTCAACACAGGTTTTTTGTTTGTTTGTTTGTTTGTTTTACAGCTTGCTTGTTTGAATCAAGATCCAGGCATTTTGCTTTCAGTTGTTATGTCCCTTAAGTTTCTTGTATTCTTATAGGACACCCCTGCCTCCTGCTCCCCCCCCCCC